AAAGGGGAAAGAGAAAAATATCCAGAAAACATAAATTTTGCCACAGATGTGATATTTAGATAAGATTTAAATCCAACCAGCATTTAACCAGAAGAGCGAGAGCTAGCATTAAATTCACATAAGTGCCAGGATTATGCACACCAGAGTCAGAAACATTAGCTTTGTCTCCGTCACGGAGCAGAGGAGATTGGCTGGAAATGGATTATGGAGGGGACTCGCCAGTGTTACTTGATCATTCCTTGAAGCTGCCAACATTGTAAAGTGCTGGTTAATAAATTATTTGACATGTACCGTTAGTCATACTTGAAGGAGAAGTGATAAAGTCAGACAGTCCACCTAGATGGTCGAATCTCTCTGGTTCAACTCCAGAAAGGGAGCACCTGGCACTATGGATGCAAAGAAGGAGGGGACCTACTCCAGTGATTCCCTAAGAACAGGCCCAGGGTGTATCTCCCACCCCCTGGGTGGGGAGCCCTGTCTACCTAGGAAATGAGACTCATGTTTTGTCAGCTGGGGACCAGCCCAGGTACAGCAAGTCTTCCAGAGCTGACAGAGTATAGCGGCAGAGCTGGTAAGGGACAATCGTGTGTATGTGCCTTCCTGAGGGAAGGCTTGGGAGACTCTAAGGGTAAGAACCAGGAGACAGGAGGCAGGCGGTGAAACCAGATAGATGGAGGTTTGAGTCACCCATAGCCACTGTGAGTAATGACCATGAGCTTGTCGACTTCAGATGCAAGACGCATGTTCCCTGTGAAGTCACATTTCTCAGAGGTCCCTGCAGATGCTGGCTGTTAAGTTTTGACTCTGAAGTCCTGGTGAATGAGATTCCAGCTGCTCCTGTCATAGAAACAAATGTTGGTTACCATGCAAGATGGGGGGGGGGATAAATTTCTTTCCTTCACTATATTAATGAAAGGCAGTGAAAGATACCATCTCAAAGCAAGAGAACTACATTCCTGAGAATGACAACTAAAATTGGCCCCCGTGAGTGCATATACATGTGCGTATACACACGTAAACATTTTCTAAGTGGATAAAAATCGTGATGTAGCCAAGACCTCCCAAGCCTGTGTGTTGTGAACTATGTCCAGGGACCAACCTCCAGAGTCTCCCCTTGAGGCTAGACCACCTATGTTCTGTGCGCGCACTTACCCCCACTCCTCACCCCCCACCCCCGCCATCCCCTTGGTGGGAAGCTGCCCTGTGTTTGCCTGTGTTTCCACTTCCTCCCATTGACTGCCCTTTGTATTAGAACCCTTCCTGCAACCTAGAGGTTGGAAGTGATGTGAGTGAGGTCATTTAAGACATAGGCCCCTGCTCTGTGGGGACCCCAATTACATTCTTGGCTCATTCTGCGTTTTTGATCATTAGAGCTTCGTGAGCTTTTGTCTGTCTTCATCTGTCTTGCTCAGCCAGGCTTAGCCTACTAATGCCATTGATTTGGCACGTTCTGGCTTATGAATACAGCTCTTGGAACAAGGCCCCTTTGTGTGACAAACCATCAGGGTGATGGCTATGGCTATGGTGACTCACACTGAGGAAGGGCTCTTGTCACCTGTATCTCTCACCCCTGCTTGTGACAGCAGCAACATGTGACCCCCCAACTCTGAGATCTTGGCCTGGCATCAGCCACTGTCTCACCAACAGCCAGGTAGCAGCTATAGGGCAGCAGGTAAACTTGGTCACTCCCTTGGAGAGTAATAGTCCCAGCAAGAAAGAGACACCCACCACTAGTGTCCACCGCTCATAGTCTGTGATGGTCATGAAGACGAAGGTTTGGACACCCTCCATCATCTTCACATCCTCACTCAGCAGTAGGGAAGGCAGAAGGCAAGCCCTGGCATCCTGAAGAACCAGAGATGGCTATTGAGTAGCTTTTTTTATTATCTCAGAGTCCAGGATGTGGACTGCACCACATAGGTGTCTTCAGAGAGCTGCTCAAGCCTCCAACTCCACTCATCATGGTTTGTTACGAGAAGCTTTCCTCTTTGCTAACTGCTTTGGTTTATCCCCCGCCAGTCGCCTGGGCTCTGCCGCGTTGTAGACCCCAAATAACACACAAGACACTGTATTAATTATGAAGCTGTCGGCCTTGCTTGTCTCTTACTGGCTAGCTCTGCTTTAAGTAATTACCCCATAATTGTTAATCTATGTATGTCTCTTACCGGAGAATAGTTCCGGGCTCCTACCCCATGGCGTTACATCTCGAACTCTCTTGTGTTTCTCCTTCCCAGAATCCTCCTGGACTCCTAGTCCCACCCATCTAGATTCCTATTGGCCAACAGTGCTTTATTAACAAATGTACAGGACTTCCCCCATCAATGGTTTGTCTTTCCCCTTAGGTTAAATAATGCCTCACACACCCACATGTGAGCTCAGCCCTGATCTATGGACAGAGACACCCTGTGCACAACCCTTGCCCCATGGACACAGGACACTGCTCTCAGCCCTGCTCCAGAGTCCCCTGACCCTGTCTGCACAACCCTGCCTCATGGACCCAGGTCCCCGAGTGCATAACTCCCCGACGCCTTTCCATCTGCACCAACACTTTGTCACTGTGTTTTGTCACCGCAAGGAATAAACACTGAGTCAAAGAACCACAATGAAGGCGGTTTTGTACTCAAAGCCACCGTTTAGTGCACCCCTGCAAACACCTTGTTCAGTGCAAAGGCAGGCTGTGTGGCTCTCTTGCCTGGGATAGGCTCCAAGGTCCTTTAAAAATGGGTCATCTGCTTGGCAGGAAGGCTCTGAGAGTTAAAGTCATGAAGGATTCCATTGCTCTAAAAATGACTCTTACCAGCAATTTGTCATAGTACCTTTTTCTTTTTATTCCTCCATCCACCCTCCTTTCTTCCTTCCCCCTTTTCTCCTTCGGCCATCATCATCTTTATCCTTTTTGTCTCCCCCTCCCTCCAACCTTTTCTCTTCCCCTTTTCTTTCTTTCTTCCCTCCCTCCCTCTCTTCTTGCCCTGTATCCCAATCCCAATCTCTCTCTCCCTCCCTCCCTCCCTCCCTTCGTCTTTCTCAGAGTCTGATCCTCTGAGAATGCTCAACCTGAGTATAAGTGAAAATCCTGAAAGAGAAAGGGCCTTAAATTAAAGACTCTCTGGGCTCTGAAGCAAGGAAGCTCAGGCCAGACCACAAATTATAATAAAATAGCCATAGCTAGTCCCACTGGACAATGCAATCAGATTTAAGTACTTTTGCTATTGACAGACATTGAAGATGACAAAGTCCCTCTCAGTAGAGCCGGGCGCCCATTTCTCTTCGAATTTATCGATCGACCTCCCCACCCAGGCTGAGCCTCACAATAGCCTGCCCTATGCATCCAGCATCCGGGCTGCCTCTCAATCAGACAAAAGCCCTTTCACAAGAAAGGCCTGTGATCTTTGCACAACCTACTCATTTTCGTCTGTTTTCTTTCACACCCCTTTAAGTGTTAAAAGTAAGAGCCCTGGGGTGGAAATGGCACCTGTGAGGGGGTAGGGAAGCCTGAGAGACTGTTGAGGAGTCTATGACCCTTCAACATGGCCCTGGGGTGTTCAGTGTCATCAGTGTTCCTTGGCTTTGGGTTTGTCATGTGTGAGATGCTGCCAATAAAGGTGCCTGCCTCCTGTGTGGTCCTGATGCTGAAATGATGTTTTGGGTGAGTCCAGCAGGCATCCCTGACCTGTGTCCTATTCAGTGGTCAGTGACTAGAGGTTCCTCACACCTGCCTTCCTCTCCCTGTGCTGACCAGCAGAGCACAGGTGAGGAGACTCATTCTTGACCCAAAGTCCATCCTCCTATTCCACTTGAGTCCACTCTACTGTAACCAGTGAACCACACAACAGCTGTCTTTTGGAAGAATGTGTTTATTTCTTTGTGTTTCTGAAGGTCAAGCATCTGGAATCTGGAATCAGGAATCAGTCTAAAATTCTTCAGCTTCTAATCTGACTTTCCCATTCCTAACCCTCCCCAACCTCCATGCTAGCACCACAGCCTCCTGATCCCATAGCCACAGTATCTGCTACCGTCCCCTAAATTACCAGTGTCCCTCTCAAAGGACAACTAGAACACATCCAGGACCGACCCAAATCATATAGGCTAATCTCCATCAATCAAGATGCTTCACTTCGTGGCTAGAGAGATGGCTTAGGAGTTAAAAGCACTTGCCCTGGGGGATCTGAGGCCCTGAGTTTGGATCTCAAGAACCCACTTAAATACAGGATAGGCATGGCAGCCTGTCTGTCATTCCAGACTTGAAGGACAAACACAAGGGATACCCAAAGCAAACTTCCTAAGAATAGCCATAAAAGTGAGTTCTCTGTTTGATTAAGAGACCCTGACCTTGTGTGTGACAGTTGTGTAGCTTGGACCCTTTGTAAGGCTCCTAGCAGGGAGATCAGGACCTGTCCCTGGCACTTAGCTGGCTTTTGGGAGTCTGTTCCCCATGCTGGATTGCCTTGCCCAGCCTTGATGCAGGGGGAGCAGCTCTGTCCTGCCTCAACTTGATGTGCCAGGCTTTGTTCAAGCCCATGGGAGGCATGGTCCTTTCTGAATGGAGACAGAGAAGCAGTGGGAAGAGAGAAGGATAGATGGGAAGCAGGTGGGGGGCACTTGGAGGAGAGGATGGAGGGGAAATGGGTGTGTATGTGAAGTAAATGAAAATGTTATTTAAATAAAAATTTTAAAAAGAGACCCTGCCTTGATGAACAAGGTAGAAGATGGATCAAGGCTGACTCCCAATGTCAACCTTTGTACTCCACATGCACATACATGCATACAAACATAAATGCATGCCACAAACACAACAACAGAAAAACAAGCAAACAAATGTGTACGACTTTACTCGCCAAAGCAGCATGCCAAAGACCCAGCAGTCCCATCTGCAGAGTCCCCAGCAGGATGTGCTCTGTGCTGGCTTTACTTCATTCACAAGGATGAGTCCCAAACATGCCCTGTGGACTCTGATGAAACTCATCTCCCTCCTCCCTGCTTCTCTCCCTTCTCCCGACCAGGTTTCTGACAGATGTGACTATGTCTTTGTCAATGGGAAGGAAATGAAGGGCAAGGTGAACGTGGTCGTCAGCTTCACCTACCAGCACCTGAGCAGCCCCCTGGAGATGACAGTGTGGGTGCCACGGCTACCCCTGCAGATTGAGGTCTCGGACATGGAGCTGAACCAGATCAAGGGCTGGAGGGTCCCTGTTATCTCCAACAAAAGGTAGGTGTGTATGAGCATGTGTGTATCTGTGTGTGTGTGTGTGTGTGTGTGTGTTGCATTGGGTAGCCGAAAGCTGTAGCTGTGTCTGTTGTGCCCAGGCTGAAGAGGGAAACACACAGGTGGCTAACTACCTATCTAGGCGAGAGCGAGAGTAGATGCAAGAGTTCACACGGTGATTTACTTGAACCAAGTGCCTGGAACCTGCCTGCCATGTGGACAACTGAACTCTTGCCACAAGCCTCCAGCTAGAGAAAGATGATCTCAGGGAGGGAGTAACAAGGATGAGGTTTGGGATAAGAAGAGAGAGCTGACTGACTTTAGGAAGAAGCAAGCAGCAGAATGCTTCACACCCCCAGACAGAAGCTCTGAGCCCGTGGCCCTGGTAAGAAGTCTGAAGCTTGTCTGCCGCATTGTACCTTTTGCAAACTTGGGTAGGATTTGGGAGAGAGGTAAGCCTCCTGTCATTCATCAGAAATCCAGATGAGGACCAGAGAGGTAGAGGCACAGAAGTTCAGCCTCTCTTTTCTGTCCATTACTTCAGGGACCTCTGGGCATACACATCCATTCACTGGAGGCATTTCAAATGCCTGAGTAAGTAAGTATATGCCATCCCACAAGGAAAGACTTCTGCAGGCTGTGACGTAGCAGAGGGAGGGGAATTGGTTGTCACTAGGAAGACCTTGAGAGTCTTCACCTTTGAGGTCCACACCTCTAGTCATGTGACATCTGGAAGAGGATGTAGCTTGAGGAGGAAGTTGGTGCCATGGACAGTGGAAAGATGGTTCTTGGACAGACTTGTTTTGAGAACTGGGTTTCCAGGGGCTGGGATAGATGGTGGAGTGTATATTGTTGTTGTTGCTGCTGCTGCTGCAGGCAGAGAGCTGGCCATGTCTGGTGCATGCTCATCTCAGTATTGCCATAGCTGGTGGACTTACATAGCGCTATGAGTGCTCTGAGAAGTGCACAGCAGATATGTGAATGGAGGTTGAGATGATGGTGGGGATGGGTCAGTGTATACAAAGTATCAGACAGTGAGAGAACAGCTAGCATCTGTTTGTTTGAAGCCACCCACCCGTCCCTGTCTGCCTTGACTACGGCATCTCACTATCTCAAGGTAACCTCTTCTGGGTGCTGGCTTTGAGGACTTTGCCTGTCTTCACAGCACTACATATTACTGGGTGTCCTGGTTGGCCTAAATTGTTAACTTGGCACAGCCAAGAGTCATCTGAGTGTAAAACCTCTATTGAGAAATTGCCTAGATTGGGTCAGTCTATGTGAATGTATATAGAGAATTGCTTTAATTAGTAATTGATGCAGGAGGGCTCAATTTACTCTGGGAAGCACCATCTACTAGACAAGTGGCCGTGTGCTGTGAAAGAAAGATAGACAAGCATAAGTCATACAGCCAGCAACAGCATCCTCCACAGTTCTTATCTTCAAGTTGTTGGTTGAGTTCCTGTCCCAACTTCCCTCAACGATGGGTTCTGAATCAGGAGTGTGCGCCAAATAAACCCTTTTGTCCCCAAGTTGTATTTGGTCAGAGCATTTTATCAAAGCAATGGAAAGGAAGTCAGAACACTGCATGATGTGATTTAGGACCTTAATCTAAAACTCAGTATGGCTTGAAGAACTATGTGCAGAGTCTCCCAGATTCTATGCAGGAGCAGACAGCTGTGGCTTTATGAAGTCCTGGAAGCTTCGGTCTACCTGTGAGACTGGTGCTCCATCTGGAAGTTCCTGCAGAGCAGACTTGCTCAGGCATTGTCCATAGGGATCAGCTCCTCACTGGCTGCTGATCAGTAGACCAGGTAACTGCCAGGCAGATGTCTCCATAGGGCAGCTCAGAACACAGCATCTTGCTTCATCAGAGAGAGCCAATGACAAAAGCCATACAAGAATACAAGCTACACTGATGTCACTATCTTTAAACCCAATCATGTAGCCAGGCATGATGGTGTACATCTGTAATTCCAGAACTTGGGAAGCTGAGGCAGGAGAGTTGTCACCTGGGCTACATAGTGGGACCTTGTATTAAGAAACGAACAAAAGGTCTTGTGAACACTTCCGCCCAGCAACCATTACCAAGTGTAAATGTTCGAGGAGCCTTTGACCCTTGATATCAATTGACAGGTAATGGTTGCTGTGGAGGTAGAGATATTGTCTTCAGTGGTTCAGACATGGGTAATGTGCCCAAGGTCCTGTAAATAACCTCTCACACTTGTCCCTGTAAGCAACGCTAGTGAAACTCCTTGGTTCACCCCCCCCCAAAACAACAAAGGACACAAAAGTAGAAGGGCTCGTTAGTAAAAGAAAGGGATCAGTGAGAGTGGGAGGGGAGAAGAGAGGGAAATGGTGGGGATCAATATGATCAAAATACATCATGTACATATATGAAAATGTCATCATGAAGCCCATTATTATACACCATTAATACAGGTTAATAAAAATGTTAGTGAAGCCAGGTGGTGGTGGCGCACACCTTTAATCCCAGCACTCAGGAGGCAGAGGCAGGCAATCTCTGTGAGTTTGAGGCCAGCCTGGTCTACAGAGTGAGTTCCAGGACAGCTAGGACTGTTACACAGAGAAACTCTGTCTCAGAAAAAAAAAAGATTAATGATAGGAGAAATTATTCTATCGCTTTTGAAAATATTGATGATGGGAGGGACTATCCAATTGCTTTTAAATGGAGTTATAAAACACAGTCTTAATGAGGGTAAATGCCAGGAAATGGGGGTCTTTGGGAAGATCTTAAGCCCCTGTCAAACTTCTCCATTCTGTCCATTCAGAGCTCTTGTCACACCAGCGATTAAACACCGTGAATCTCCTATGTGTTGCCTGAGACTTAAGCAAGCTGGACTCTTTGAAAGTAGACTCATGGAGTCCCCAACAGTTGCCCCAACAAATAAATATCTTTTGACAGGCCAGCTCGGGACAGTGAGGAGGAAGATGACGATGAAAAGAAGGGCCGAGGCTGCACCCTCCAGTACCAGCATGCCATGGTGCGAGTCCTGACCCAGTTTGTGGCCGAGGCACCTGATCCTGGGGGACACCTGGCCTACCTGCTGGGCTCTGACTGGCAGGTGGACATCACAGAGCTGATAACTGACTTCATGCAGGTGGAGGAGCCCAGGATCGCCAAGCTGCAAGGAGGGCAGATCCTGACTGGCCAGGACCTGGGCATGACCACCATCCAGGTGAGGCGTCTGCAGAGTTGGGCAGGGCTTTCTGTTCCACTGCTCTGGAGGGGGACACTTGGCCATCTGCCATTGCTCACAACGGAGTCTCCCAAGGCTCACTTGAGTGAAATCACAGTGAACATGCACAGTTGGAGTGTGACATACAGCAACTGAGACCCCTCAAGTAATACACAGGAGACACAGGGTCCCGTATCTTCTTGGTCATGTCCTGTAAGCAAGGGAGGTCTTAACATCTTGAGAAACAAGCCCCTAACACAATACATGGGAGACATAGGGTCCCGTATCCTCCTGGTCATGTCTGGGCACCACCTCCTCTTGGTCATGTCCCCGAAGGCATGGCAGGTCTTACCAACCTGAGAAACAAAACCCTAGAGAGAAGTTCACCCTGCCTGGATCACAAGCCTGGCCAGCTCCTCCAAAATGACCCTGGTCACCTGAACTTTCCATCCATCTCAGTAAAGCAGGGGAGGCAACATGGAAGGGATTGGAAGGAGGAAAGGGAAGGGAGAAATGAAGTAATTGTAATCTCAAAAAAATTGTTAGAAACTAAAAATAAATTTAAAACAGAATTAGTGATAAGAATTATCACTACTCCTGAGTTGTCCCCTGAACTATATATATATGCAATAATAATAATAATATAACTAACAATAATAAGTGAAAATTTTTAATTTAATGTTGCTTGTATCAAACAACTAAGAAAAGGCTGAAAAACAATGTCAACACCTGGGAACCTGGACCTAGATAAGTTTTTGATTCCAAACTCCACTTTGAAAGAGAATCCAAGTCCAGAAAGGAATTGTATGTTGCAAAGCAAGGAGGAAAAGGACTCCCTTCCTAGGCAGGAAGCATAGAGAGTGCCACAGCAGGGCATCCAGTCCTGAGGTCATTTCACTCAGATCCACTGAGTTCCCGAGTGATGAACTTGTCCATTCACTTCCTTCTGGAGACTCTCATCTCATGCCCACTATCATTTGAATGGTCACAGACAGATAAACCAAGGGCGATGGGTGGGGTGGAACTTGAGCTTGGTGATCATGTAAAAATGGGTTTGCTGAAATTCTGCCCTGAAACTCATGGACCCCATTCTGACAGCCGGAAAACCAACATAGGACCAAACCAGGCCCCCTGAATGTGGGTGTCAGCTTGGAGCACTAGGCAGTCTATGGGGCCTCTGGCAGTGGAACCAGGATGTATCCCTAGTGCACGAATGGGCTTCAGGAGCCTGTTTCCCATGGAGGAATACTCTCTTAGCCTAGATACACAGGGGAGAGTCTAGGCCCTGCCCCAAATGACTTGAGAGATTTTGATGATCCCTATGGAAGACCTCACCCTCTCTGGGGAGTAGATGGGGGATGGGTTGGGATGATAGGTGGGGAGCATGGGCAGATGGGAGAGAGAGGGAACTGGGATTGGTATGTAAAATAAGATTGTTTCTGTTTCTAGTAAATGTATATTTAAAAAAAAAAGAAAGAAATGCTGCCCTGAAACTCGAAGGTCAAAAGAGCAGGTGGACAGGGGAGCAGACCTAGTTCACCCAGGGGGCTGAGGATGCACAGAAAGTCGAGGTAGCCATCTCCTCTTCCTTTAAAAGCTGGGCTGGGCTGGGGAGATGTTCCTTGGTCCCCAGAGGTGTGCAGAGGAAATCAAGACCAGGCTGGACTCAGAAGCTGTCAGTGTGGGTATAGGAGGGTATCATGTGAGGCAAAACAAGATTTCAAGATGCCACTGGATCTCATGGTTCAGAGTTTCTCAGTGTGGAGTCAAAGCCCTCCATGCTGGTGCAAGTCTTTAATCCCAGCACTAAGGAAGTAGAGGCAGATCTCTGTGAGATCTATGTAGTCCAGCTAGGGTTAGACAGTGAAATCCTCTCTCTCTCTCTCTCTCTCTCTCTCTCTCTCTCTCTCTCTCTCTCTCTCTCTCTCTACACACACACACACACACACACACACACACACATACACACACAAGACCTCAAACTATGGAACTGAAGATTCCAGGAAAGAAGACAGATTAGATGGTATTTGAATCAGGGAGCCTTACTTTTTTATATATTGTTTTTATTTATTTATTTTTATGTGTATGAGTATTTTCCCCGCATTTATGGCTGTGAACCACAGGCATGCCTGGTGACTACAGGGGTCAAGAAGTGGGTGTCATATCCCCTGGAACTGGAGTTGTAGATGGTTGCAATCAACCATGTAGGTGTTGGGAACTGAACCTAGGTCCTCTGCAAGAGAAGCCAGTGCTCTTACCACTAAGCCATCCCTCCAGTTACTTTCTAGTTATGTGCTGGCTTTCGCATGTACTACAGAAGTAGCTGTACGGTTAAGATGTTTGAGTCGTGGTTCTCTGGGGGATATGAAGGCTTTTTGGAAGTTGAATGCACTGGTAATAGCAGAAATGGCCCATGGTGTATACAAGAATCACCACACTCAGAAGAACCCAATGGCACTAATTCCTCTTGCTAAAGAGAGGGTCACAATGACAACCAGAGTTGGTTTGTGGGCGTCCCTCTGCATGCCCCTCGTATCTGCTCCATGCTTCTGTGTAAACGCACATTGCATCATTGCATCTCCATGATGAAGGATTCTGCGCCAATGGGCTCATGTGGGCTCCTTTTCTCTCACGGTCCCTGCATGCCTTCACTCATGACATGTGATGAAGTGCTGTGACCACAGAGAGCCTCCCTTTGTCATGTTGGTTCTGCCCTTCAGATCCTGTCCCCTCTGTCGGATGCCATCCTTGCCGAAAAGACCATCACTGTGCTGGATGAGAAGGTGACCATCACAGACCTGGGGGTCCAGCTGGTAACGGGTCTTTCGCTGTCCCTGCAGCTCAGCCCCGGGAGCAACAGAGCCATTTTTGCTACTGCAGTGGCTCAGGAACTTCTGCAGAGGCCCAAACAGGTAAGAAGGTAGGGCTCGGGACACACATCAGCTGAGTCTTACCTCAGGTGAGGTCTGCATACACCAGCTGAGGTCAGCATATACCAGAGCATATACGCTAAGCAGACTTCACACTAGGACACTTTACAGTGTCCCATTGTGAGAACCCCATGGCAGATGGAGGCCAATACATACATATGTTTGGAGTCACATACTCCAAACAGACATCACATGTCTTGGGTTTCTTGACTACAAAGGAGCTGCTAACATGTGACTGTGAAGCCTCTTCCCTCCTAGCTCGCTGAAACGGATGGGCAAGCACTGTGGCAGGTGACCATCAGCCGCTTAGGGAAGAAGCCCTGAAAGGATGCTCACCTGTTCTCCACACTCAAGTGTGCTGGGGTGGGGACCTGGGCGGGTCCAGATAGCCCTCCCTGACTGGCATGATGGTCTCACCAAGCCGTGGGAGGGAGTTGGAGGCATGGGCAGATTCAGGATTACCACAGCCTGCAGCCAAGGTCTCAGCAGGTTTGGAGGCTGATCTAGAGAACAGGGAATTTACAGGGGTCATATCATCCTTTTCTCTTCATTTGAAGCCAGTGTCCTAACAGGCTGCATTATGCATTTGTGTTATGTGTATGGATGTGTCTTAGGTCTCTTTGCTGTGATAAACGCTATATCTCAAAGCAACTTGCAGAGGAAAGGGTTCATTTAACTGACCGCTCACAGTCCATCACTGAGGAAAGTCAGAGCAGGAACTAAAGCAGAGGCCACAGAGGAATTCTGCATACTGGCTTGATTTCCATGGCTTGCTCAGCCTGCTCTCTTACACCATTGAGGACCACCATGCCAGAGGTGGAACTACCCACAGTGAGCTAGGCTATCCCACACCAGTCATTAATCAAGAAAATGCCCCTTAGACTTGCCTACAAGTGTATTTGATGGAGGCATTTTCTGAATTGAAGTTCCCTCCTCCCAAATGACTCTAGTTTGTGTCAGGTTAACAAAAGTTCAAGCAGCATAAGACATATGTTTGCAGATGTGACGATCTGTGTGTCTTATATGTGCTCATGTATGTGTCTGCATGTGGGTATTATGTGTATCTTGTGTATTGTAGAAAGGCAAAAGATTTATACCATCTGAAGAGAAACCAGAGTGCATCTTGTGTATTGTATTGTCTGTTATGTACATGTTTGTGTTTTACCTGTGCCTATGTGTATGTCTATGTGCCTGTGTGAGTATTCTGTGTGCTGGGTGTGTGTATGTGTGAATCTGTGTTGTGTTGAGTGTGTGTGTGAGAGAGAGAAAGAGAGAGAGAGAGAGACTCAGTGGTTTGTGTACAGTAGATCTTAAGAGAGAATATTCTTACCTCCTCTTTGGGGGTGGACAGATGTTATTTCTTAGATGGAACACAGATAATGAGATGAACTTTACGGTAGAAGACAGCAATCAGTTCTCTCTGCATGGGATCATATTCATCCAACTTACAGAGAGATTTTTCTGGAAGTCTCTCTAGCCATCAGAAACCCTTCTTCCACCACAGCAGGGAGAGTTGCCAGACTCAGCCTCCCTCACAGAACCAGACAACAAGAGAGACTGACCACACTCGCAGCAGGAAGAAGACAGCCCAACTCACCACCTCCAACCTTCTATCTTCCAGCTGGTCCTACACCTCAAGTTCCCCTCTCGGGTGCTAGCCAATCATTGAGCCTTGATAGCACAGCCTTATGTGGGGGATTTGGGATTAGAAAACATTGGAGTGTTGATGTTCCTGGTGACAGACATGAATTCTTGGCAAAAATCAAGCCTCCGTTTGTCTAGAAGGATGGAGGGCAGCCTGCAAAGTACAGATAGGAAGGACGAGAGATGAGCTTTCCTCCTAGCTCAGTGGATGATAAAATCAGACCGCAGCCAGTTAAGGATTAAAAAGTGATAAGACACCGCCAGAATAGAGGCAATCCATCCCTGACATGCAGAGTGTCACCTGCTCCCCTAAGGGTAGCTCTGGGGTAGGTTTCATGGCCCTCAGTCCCCTTGTGCAGCTTGGCGCTGATCTGACAACTTCAAAAAGCTGGCGGTCCGTATGCATCCCCTGCTGAGATTTCCTGGCACAGAAGAGCAAGCTGGTGGATCAGTGCTGGGTCCTGGGGCTTTCGCACTGCACCCTGGCCAATTCCCCATGCAGTGGCTGGTTTAAGCCAACGTCTAACAAAAGGAAGGGACGGAAACTACCGACCACCTCTGAGGGTCTTGCTTTCCTTTTTCTGGGCTGAATACCACCCATGGAACATTTACTCCAGTTCCTAGTGAGGGCTGTTATAATGGCGAGAAGAAAAACACCCAACCAATAGCAGGGTATGGGGTAGAAAGGCCTGGGGAACTCTCAGATCCTGGCTGAAAGTCCCAGGTCATCTGGTTCCCACTCTCCCTTCCTTGACATGTTGTCATTTAAAAAAAAAATCTTACTGTGCATAATTACCACACTCATATCTTTGCTTATTTGCAAGCTATTGTGGTAGCCCCAAAAAGGGGGCCCTTACTACCCAGTTTTACTTAAGTTAAAACCATCTTTTGTGCTAACATATGAGTCTGTCTCTCTTCTTAGAGAAGGGGGGCACATGTCCCCACTTAGGGATGCTCAGCTTAAGGGCTGTCATGGAAATCTTTCTAACTAGCTGAGGTCAGCAGGTAATGCATAGGTCTCTAGGGACTGTTCCCCCATGCTGGACTTGAACTTCTAAGTCCTAGGAGAGAGAGACGGGCTTGGGGTAGAGTTTCCAGAGAACTGGAGGAGAATACAGCAGTAGGAGTGCCCATCCACTGACATAGCCAAGATCAAAGGCTTTACTTAAAATGAAGACATCAACGAAGTCACCGGCCCATGCTACAAATGAATGAAGATGTCTAAACACCAAATGCAGAAGGCAGGAGATGCAGACACACAGGGACCTTGGCTGTAGGCTGCCTTTGTGTCCCCAAGTTTCTTCCCATTGGTTGAAATAAAGTGTGGGGGGAAATAAAAGCAAAGTCTCCATGTGAGTTCAAGCCAGTTGTATCCCAGAGAAGGTAGAGCCAATGAAACCATGCCCATCGGTGGCCCTGGGGTGTTTCTCTTCCAGTCTGGATCAATGTCCTCAATCCATGCTATCTGTGATAATGTGACTGGATGCTAAGATGGTGTCAGATGGCATGGTACCACATTTAATTTACACCTGTGACTCTCATGAAGGAGCCTGCTCACCAGCAATACTGTTTGACAAGCTATTTAAAATTGTGCAGACAGAGATCCTAGGGAGTCTCTGAACCTGTTTGTCTTGTAACAGATCAGAAAATAAGTCAATTGTAATTTATTTTGAGATGAGGATACCCCAGAACTAATTATATAGTCAAAGATAACACTGAACTCCTATCCTGCTGCCTCCATTTCCCAAATGCTGAGATTAGAGTTGTGTTGCACTGTATCTGGGTTACTGTGGTGCTAAGGATAGAACCCAAGCCTTCACAATTTCTAAGCAAGCATTCCACCAACTGAGCTATGTCCCCAGCCTCAAATGTCAGTCTTATTTTGGAAGGCTTAATCTGGTCCCATCTGCCCCACCCCACTTTGGTTCTTTATATTGGTGTGTTCTATGCTAGAGTTTCCCATGCTGGCTCTACATTGTCTAATTGGCTTTTCCTTGAAGCAACACCCATATGCCTGTTTGCTGAGCCTCTTGACACATGTTAACCTACTTCTCTTACTCCATAGGAAGCAGCCATCAGCTGCTGGGTACAGTTCAGTGACGGTTCTGTCACACCATTGGACATTTATGATGAAAAGGATTTCTCCCTAATGGCCACATCCTTGGATGAGAAGGTTGTCTCCATTCTCCAGGACCCCAAATTCAAGTGGCCTATCATTGCTGCAGAAAATGAAGGACAGGGGTCCCTGGTGAAGGTGGAGATGCTGATCAGTGAATCTTGCCAGAAATCTAAGCGGAAGAGCGTGCTGGCCGTGGGAACCGCCAACATCAAGGTTAAATTTGGACAAAATGATGGGAACCCCAATAGCAGTGAGAGTGGACACCTTGGGGCCGGGCTTCACGTGGAGAATATCAGTGACAGGAGATCCAAAAAGCCTTTGCAGGAATGGGGGAGCCCCGATGGGTCGTACTACAGCAGCTCATCCATGGGGCTCATGGAGGGATGGGGCAGTACAACCAAGAGGCCAACTTTCCAGAAGAAGGAAGGCCAGGAAAGCCTGTTAGATGACATCATCTTCTCACAGACCATGGCCACAGACCTCACCAGCTTCCCAGATCAGGTGGACCTCCCCAGGAGCAACACAGGCACTGAGGAGCATGACCCTGACCAGGCAGCCAAGGGCTTGAGTGACCTGGAAATCGGGATGTATGCTTTGCTGGGTGTCTTCTGCCTGGCTATCTTGGTGTTCTTAATTAATTGTGTGACCTTTGCCCTGAAGTACAGGCACAAACAGGTTCCCTTTGAGGAGCAAGAAGGTCTGAGTCACTCTCATGACTGGGTTGGGCTGAGCAACCGGACAGAGCTGTTGGGGAACCACTTGAACTTCGTCTCCTCCCAAGAGGAACAGATCACTGCCATTGACAGGGGTCTGGACTTCGAGGAGAGCAAACTCCTTCTCAGTTCAAACTCCCAGAGCAGCATCAATGGACAGCTGTTCAGGTCCACGGGAGCCATGCCCACAGATGGGAAAGAACAGAAGAGTGAACCCCCCACATCCCCTACCTCCAAAAGGAAAAGAGTGACATTCTCCACGTTCTCTGCCATTTCCTCAGATGACGGGTGTTCTGTTGGGAACACCATAGTGTTGAGTAATGAGGATGACATTAAGTGGGTCTGCCAGGCCCTGGACCCTGGGGAGTGTCCAGAACCTCACAGTTGCATGGAGAGGCTACATGAGCACGTGTAACACAGACACCAATGTTGTTACTACCTTTCAGCCTTTAACCCACCCGGGTATGGGGAGTAGACATGCAGCCAAGGGAGAAATGAGACAAGAGGACACCATAAGGGTGACACTGTCCATGGAGCCTTGGGAAATGGTCCCCTCGTAGCTGGGGAGGCCCAGAGTCGGTACCCATGCATATGCTGTTGCACACAGTGTTTTGGTTGGACTTTAGAGGTTTATTGTGCATGGCAACATGTTTTCAAAGCTGGAGCAAAGAGGTGTGTTTGAGGGTCTACAGGGAAGAACTCTCTCCCCTTAATCTAAAGCAATTTGGTTTTGGGTGAGATCCACGCTGCTTTGAGAGTCAATTTTTCAGACCATGGAAATGAAAAAGCAAGGTCCTGATTGAGCATGCGTGGATCAGTGGGTAGAAGCATGCCATCCGAGTGGAGCAGCGGGGCTGGCTACAAGTGTGCCCACAGGCGAAGCCTAGCGCTGACGCTGGCTGCAAGAAGCAGGGTGGTGAGCTGTAGTTCCCAAAGATGGGGTCAAAGTTGACCGGGATTATCGACAGGCCAAGGCAGAGATTAGCAGGGCAAAGAGGAAATGGGTAGATGAATGGCCCACAAATATTTTTGTAAGTACATGCCAAGACACACACACACACACACACACACACACACACACACACACCATTAGAACAACTCAGAGAAGCTGCCTGCCTGTAGGACACTGGGCACAAACCACGAGCCTCCTTTAGCAAGTTCAGCACATTTGAACTTGATCTCTCCACTCCACTGATGCCCTTACTGCAGCTGTTGGTTATTGTGAGTGAGGAAGGGAGGATAAAATTTCCAGAACTTTCTCCCTGCCTCTCTTTCCCCTGGGCTTTGTGTCAACCTCAAGTGACATTCCGTAGAGAAGGTCCCGGAGACCTTCTGAAGAGTCTGGTCTCCAGAGTGTTAAGCAGAGCTCCGGGTGAATTCCCCATCCTCTCTCTGCTTCCCTAGAAACCATAGGGGGCTGTTTTGGGAGTGGGTCTGCAGCCACTCATGTTGGGTCTCTCGTCCGAGAATTCGCCACCAGGGTGTTAAGACAAATCCATCCGTTGAGAGTAGGTGGGCCCTTCTGAGCTGTAAGAGGCGAGTAGGAAGGTAGGCTTATGCATGCTTGGACAGCATGAGAGAGATAAAGGGTGTGTGTGTGTGTGTGAGAGAGACAGAGAGAGAGAGAGAGAGAGAGAGAGAGAGAGAGAGAGAGAGAGAGAGACAGAGACAGAGACAGAGAGAGACAGAGAGAGACAGAGAGAGACAGAGAGAGACAGAGACAGAGAGACAGAGAGACAGAGAGAGGGGGTAGAAAGAGAGAGAGAGAGTGTGTGTGTGTACACATGCGTGCACAAAGGAGGTGTGTGTGTACTTGCTGAGGGTGTGCATGTGTCTGTGGATACATGTGTGTAGGTACATACTACTGCAAGCACTCTTGGACCCAAAGTCAGCCCTGAAAAATCAAAATGATTGCTCAGTGTCTCTAAGGTCCTTCAGTTGCTTAGGGTCTGAAGATGGAGAGGGAGGCACGATCAGGGGATTCCCTACCCCAATCCCGGTCTCACTGTGCAGTGAGGATGTTGGGCTGTAAAGTAGCCATGACCTTGAAGGGTGAAGGAGGCTGGTCTCTCTGCATTTCTACCACCACCATTTTCCTTTCCCTGCTCTTCGGACCTCTCTCCAACTCTTTTCTCCTCTTTCCGGGTCTTTCCGTCTGCCTTTAACCTGCTTCCTCTATTTCCTCTCCAGTTACTTTCTGTCTTTATCACCTGTCTCTTTCCTTACCACCCTCTTATTATTCTCATCCCCACCAAATAAGAGACTCTCCCTAGAGGACTGTGAGTCCCGCCTCCCCTCCTGCTGAGGCCCCCTCCCCTCTGATTGTGGTGCTAATCCTTTTGTTCTGACAGCCAGCAAGCCCCCCATCCCTGGTCTCCCAGTGGATTCCCCTTGTTTGGGTGGGTGATGAAACTCTTAGCCCTTTGCCACCACAATTCATTGCTGTCATTGCCTCCTTTCTGGTTTCTTTCCATTCTTACCCCAGTGACATATCCTTGACTACTGCAGCAGACGCCTGTTCTCAAATCCCTCCACGTGTAGAATGTATTGTAGATTGTAAGAATGTAATATATATTTATAAACTTACTGACTGTAAATATAAAACATGCACTCTGCGGCTTTATGACTGGCCTTTGTCTTTCTACACACTGACCCCCTCCTCCTCCTCCCTCCAGCCCCCCACCCCCCACCCCCACAGTCTCAGGCCCCCAGCATCTGTGGCAAATGGCTCTTCCAACGCTATGGCTTTTGGTAAATGAAAATGTAGATTAAGGATCCAGTGCAATCCAATTACACCCTGACATCCTGTAATGCTGCTCCCGGCATCAAGGGGATGTTGACACATGATGACAAAGTGTACCGTGTGCTGAGTGTCTCTCCTTCAGGACCTGAAAGGATTTGAAAATAAATCACACGTGTAATTCTCTCCTAAAAGCCTGCTGACAGATGGTAGATGGGAGCCTCAGAGGCAGGCACTTGGCCCAGCCTCCCCGTGTGCTGGAGCAATGAGGGCGCTCTGTCCTCTTCTTGGGTCGCCTAAGTATTTGCACACAGCTGTATTCAAAAATTGACCTTGGTAGAGGTGATTCAGATGTCCTGAACCCACACGAAAAAGCTAAACACATCGGGGGCAGGTGTCTGTAAGCCCAGTGTTGGGAAGGCAGAGACAAGGAGATTCCTTGAATGCACTGGCCAGGCAGCCTCGCTGAATCTATGAGCCCCAGGTTCACCAGAGACCCTGTCTCAAAAATTAACATGGAGAGCAACTTAGAATGAAGTCCGATATTCCCAATGCAGGAATACATAGATGCTGGCCTTGAGAGTCAGACTTTATTCACTGTGTCCCCGACATGATTCCTCATAGAAAGGAGATAGCAGAACCCTGAGATGCACACACATTGATGAATGTTAGTCATTCAACCATTTTCAGAGTAACTATTCTACCAGTAGGATGGGACTGGAGACACATGTGCCACTCTCAAGGACCTTACCTATATTTGAGGACAGAGATTAACAAAGATAAAATAGTTTGAGGATAGTCATAAGTTTCACAAAATGGAATACAAAAAGTAGCAGAAGAAAAGATGAAACAATATTTAAAAACCAGTCCCTTTTGCCTAAAAGTAGCCAGGATCTACTGTTGCTTACAAATGCAAACACCATGAGAAAGGGCATAGTCATTATAGATAGAGGAACAGCAAGTATAGAAACCCCTGACTCCCAGAGTGTGCTTGGAACAGAGCATCAGTTCCACCAGCCCACATCCCCCTACAAGAGAAATGACCCTTGAAGCCATCTCCATCCTAGCTGGTGAAAACGACAGAGAAAGGAGCTGTGTGTTTTCTTAAGACAACTAGTAAAGGGTACGTTACTGCGAGGAAGACCAGTCTCTTCTGAATCTCCCAGGCAAACGCGGAGTGCCTAAAGAACACACTGTGAGGGCTATGGAGACGATGGCTCGGTAAAGTACTTGCCGCATGAGAAAGAGGGCCGGAATGTGGTCCTCGACACCCACATAAAAAAGCTGGGCATGGATCCCTGTGCTGGGAAAGTGGAGATAGAAAGATCTCTGGGACTCATTGGGCAGCCAGCCTGGCCTACTCAGTGAGCTCCAAGTCACAGTGAGGGACTCTTTCAAAAAGCAGGGTGTGGGCTGGAAAGATGACTCATTGCCTGGGGAAGCTTTGCTGTACAAGCCTGATGACCTGAGTTCAATCTTGGAACCCGCGGGAAGGTGGAAGGAGAGAACAGACTACATGCAGTTGTCCTCTGACCTCATACACATTCCGATGCATAGAGGCACATGTTCGTGCATGCATGTGGGCGTGCACACACACACACATACACATGCGCACACTACTACTAATAACAGTAATAATAATAAATAAACTTTTTAAAATTATGAAGTTGGAGCTGGAGTAATGACTCAGTGGTTAAGACTGCTTGCTTTTCTTGCAAAGGATCTAAGTTTTGTTCCCCAGTACCCACAAAATGACTCATAATCTCCTGTAACTCTAGCTCCATGAGACCCAATACCTTCTTGCTGCCTCTGCACCCACAAGGCATGGACATGCTGCACATATATCCAAGAAAATCACTCAGATAACAAATTAGTTAATTAGTTATTAATACCAAAGTGGACAGCAGGTGGGTAACGACATCCACACTTGAACTCTGACCTCTTCACATGCATGCACCCATGTGTACGTGTCCATACATACAGGTGCACCCATACAAACACATACCCACAAAGAACACAATAGCATAAGATACACATTTTGACATGATCTACCTGCCTAGAATCTGAGCAACAACCCAAAGTCTGGATGAACAGAAAACCCGAAACAGGTGTCTTTCAAGTGTAAAGAAAACCATGCCTTCTCTCTCATACCTGACCTGTAAGTTCACTATACCACCTGTGTGTGCCTGGGAGCAAAGGACTTCGTACATGTTGGGAATACCATCCCTGAAGCTGCTATTAACATCTCCTCAGCATCACGTCCAGAAGGGCATTCCGGCTCTTTGCCTCCCAGTCTCTTCTAGCTTCCAGACATAAGGATTTAGTAAATCAGAGCTTGAGCACTCTGCGCTGCCTCTCATCTCTGGAGGGCACAGTTCTGAGGTCAAAGCTCTGTTGGAGTCCACTCCGACTGAGCGTTTCCAGGTAGGAGGCTATTCCTTGGCTTCTGTGCTTTGCTGGGGGGCCTTTGATGTCCTTTGCTCTCAGAAAGAGTACCTTGGGGCTGGAGTGTGTCTCAGTGGCAGAACATTTGCCTGGCATGTACAAGGCTCTGAATTTGATCCTCAGAACCCCTCTCCTAAAACATCACCCTCTATCTGCTTCTATCTTCACTTTAGTCTCTTTCAGTGTGGCCAAGGGTCCTCATAAAGAAACCTGCTTATCTGAGTGGATTTTAGTAGTCCAGTATGCCTTCAGGTTACCTGAATACATGTATACACGCTTTGCTTTGAAATAAGGTTACACTGCAGCACTGGGATTAGGCCCTCCTCTTATGAAATTTGTATTTTAGCCCATGCCACCAATGTGGGGCCCAAAGGTTCTAGAAGAAATTAGTAGGACTGGCTTGGGTTTGGGGCTCGGGCTCAGGCAGTCCTTTGGGGTTTCGAGGAATGTCTCAGCCCCCAAAGGTTTCTTCACCCTGATTTCTTCATTTCACACCCACTTTACAAATAAGGCTGTGCAAGGGTACCCTGGGAGCTCGAATCAGTAAATGTGTGTGTGTTTCCTCCTGGGAAAGCTCACTCCTGTGAGCTCACCACCCATTTGACACCTCCCAAAGAGCCCTCATTAGCTCCTTCCCACCTTGCTTCTGCCTTTGCAGCAGCAAAAACATTCAGTAAGAGGAGGGTGTGTAGACCAGGGATGCTGTCTCAGGAGAGGCACATCCTCCGGGCCAGCAGCCACTTGACATCAGAGGAGCATTCTGGGTAATGGGAAAGAACGAGGTTGCTGACCAGAGATCCAGATACAAGATTGACTTGGCTCAGTGGAGTCCTTTGAAAAGACCTTGTTGGGCCCAGTGGACACATATCTATGAGGAAAATGTGAGATTCTAGCAGGATTCTGTGGGCAGAGAAGTGAAAGACTTACACTTTGGTGTGTGTGGGAGGGGGCAGGGGTACATTTATGGGGATGTGGAGGGCTGCATACCTGCAAGGCTGTTGTACCAAGTCACCACTGACCCTATGACCTAGAACAGCAGGAATTCGTTCCCTGACAGTGAAGGAGTCTGAGATGAGGGCATCTCCAGGTTCCTCCTGAGGTCTCTGATGGCTCCTGGTCATGCCTGGCCTTCTACTGGGTCTGGGTTTTTCATCTTCTCATGAGGATACAGACCTGTCCCACCCCAGTCTGACTTCATTTTACCTGAATTACATCTTTAAAAACCCTGCCTCCACAGGCACTGAGGGTTAGGGGTTTTGATGGTCCTTGAGGAGTATATAATTCTATCCACCCCATAGAGAAAGACGCCTCTTGGGAAGAAAGACATCCTTTATTGGTGATTGGGGGGGGTTATATTTATTTATTTATTATGTATACAGTATTCTGCCTGTGTGTATGCCTGCATGCCAGAAGAGGGCACCAGATCTCATTACAGATGATTGTGAGCCACCATGTGGGTGCTGGGAATTG